GGGGGGGGGGGACAAGGTTAAAAAATTAGTTGACGAGATTCGTGAAATGGCGAGATAGCGCGTCCTCGGAGGCAAAAAGGCATATGACAAACGGAATTCGAATCAAAGGAATCCCGTCTACGTAGTTTGTTGAGGAAACGAAATATGCCGGTCCTTTTTCTGCAAAGCGTCACGCTTGCAAGCTGACTGAAGCTCCGCTGCAACTAACTTCTGTTTCGCCCGGATGTTTCAAAGAGATTCTTCATATCGAAGCACTTCATACGTTTCATTCAATTTCGAGATAAAAAGAAAGAAAGAAAAAAAAAAGAAAGAAAAGCTGCCTGGCTGTTCGTTCGTTCGTTCGGTCAGATCAGATTACCTTCTCCGAGACATCGCTGACTAATGTAGTTTTCACGAAAATCGCGCGACTCGATCTACAGCGAGAGGAATTAGTCGCTCGTTACTTCTTTCTCGGAGACGAACGACGAAAGTTTACTCGTAGTTCGAGAGTGCCATCGAAGCGGGAAAATTGCCGCAGCACGTGGAAACTAATGGTTTAATCCTCGACTTAACTGCGTCGTTATTTATATCGCCTATTCGACGAATCACCTCAAAGGCAACCTCGAAAAGAGAGAGCCAGTCGCGTAAAATATATCCCAATTCACGGGGAGCCATGCCTTACTTACTTGATCTCTTGCTCTTTATGTGCTTTTTAGTAGCTACTTAAATAATTGTTTATTTGCTGCTGTACAAGATCCTGCTGCTCCCCGGATATTACGAATATAACGGATATTACATAATGGATCTCGATAAATTAGATGAGATATTAAACTGTAAACATTTGCTTTTAATATAATCGATATAAGTTTACCATCCTTTCGATAATTAATATTTATTAAAATCCGATTAAAATCCGCATCAACGCTTGCCAAAACATTAAAGTTAACATTAAAAAGAATCACTAAAATAATCAAAATTCGTAATTTCTCTCGGATATTTTACGGACGTAAAACAGCGTGTTTCAATCAAAATCCAGTTTTTCGTAAGATGTAAAAACAAAAGCTCGTACAATCCATTGTATTACAAAGTTTCTCTATTCTTCTTTTTCTTTTTTTATTTCAATATCTCTGATGGAAATTTTACAGTTTAATCGCCAATAGTTCCAGCGTTGAACTTACAGTTGAAACGAAAGGTTCGAGTATGGTGTCGACACGACAAGGCAAGGGGATGTCTTCGAATTTGTCGTTCGCACGAAATGGAACGAAAGAAACTCGACGGGCAAAAAAAAAAAAAAAAAAAAAAAAAAAAATCAGGAAACCACAATTCCGTAACCGGGTTAAGCAGAGTCTATTTGTCGACGTTCCTATCCGCGCGACGTTTTTCTTCGCCGTTACCCATTAGCGCAAAATCGTGGACCGTCCCTCGGCCTCGCTCTCTCACCCTTTCTCTTCTCTCTGTCTGCCGCTCGAGTTCGAGCACAATAGCGCGTGGATACGCGGCTGGAGAATGTGCTTATAGGAAAACCATAGCCTCTGGTACGTACAAAATCAATGGGCCGTGAAACGAGGCTATTAAACGGTTGAGTCAAGCACCGATGATCCAAGTCCGACCAAGCTTGTCCCTTCTCATCGTGTTCGCCGCGGGCATCAAACATCGCGGACTCGGTTATCGACCGAACCGTTTAATCAGCTCGAACGACCGATCCTTCTAACTCTTTCGCACACGTACACACACACATACAGACGCGAAAAGAAAGAAAAAAAGGAAGAAATCCACGATCTATGTCTTTGTTACAATGCCTTGAAGCTCGTCGCTTACCTCGATCGCTTCTCGTTATTTCCATCGTGTCGGTCGTGTCGTTCCTTCGGAGTGACGAGCATTTTCGTATTTTATTTTCTGTCCGCGGGAGAACGGAATTTTAAAATACGGCGCGTCAAGTAATACCGGAGGTAATTAAAGTTCGGACGTATTAAGACGCATTAAGACCGGAAGGTGGACTCCGCTTTGTGCCTGTGTGCGGGCACGTTTTCACGAACGCGGCTCGCCACTTCGTCGCTAATCCGCCATCTTCGCGGTCTGAATTTTCCTTTGTACGATACGGGGCTGGCACCCGCGTTTATTGTTCGCCGAGTAAAGGATACAGCTCGGCAGGCAGTGCATTTCGCTAATTGCTTTGAACTTCCCCGTTGCAGAGTTCAGGGAGGCGTTCAGGCTGTTCGACAAGGACGGGGACGGAAGCATCACGAAGGAGGAGCTCGGCAGGGTGATGCGTTCGCTGGGACAGTTCGCCAGGGCGGAAGAACTGCGCACGATGCTGCAGGAGATTGACATCGACGGTAAGCCAAAATCCAAAATAAAAGATCCAAAATCCAAAATTTAACCGTTCCGTTTGAAAAGAAAAAGCTCGAACTCTGAATCCAAGAAACAGCGCGCTATTCTATTATCCGAGTTAGCAGAACAAAGCAGAGCGTGTATATTGCATAGTAAATCCGGCGTGCATAGTAAAATACGCGGCAAAGTGTCCCGAAAGCTACGGTCGAACGTGGCGTTAATCGAAAACTTCGCATTAATGTTCAACGATATTGCGAAAACGGAACGCGGGGTTGGCGATCGGTCCGCGCGGTTTTCGAGCGCGAACGCGTTCGTTAAAATTCGTAAACGACGTTTCCGGCCACGTGGCTAAGTTCATTAGCAATAGACTAGCAACGCCGAGTTCTCGAGCTCTCAACTTTCTCATGTAAATCGTTTCGCTGTCGTTGCCAGCGTGGTGGCTACAGTTTACGAGCCACGGTTTAAACACGGATAATTGAACAGACTCGTTCAGAAGAAGGTGATAACCTTCGTACGGCAGGTAAATCCAAGCGGCAAGTTTACCATTTCGCGTAACCACGTTGGCCCAGTTACAACCTTTCTGCCCGATGGCATCCCCTTAATTGCGGGTAATTTTCGAGAAGTGTTTCCCTCCTCTGACAATGGGCAGGACGTTCGTGGGTAGAGCCTCTTTATTAAACTAGATCCGTTCCTTTTCTCGAAAACCCTCTCCCATCCTTCGCACACTTTTACCCCTTTTCGCTCGTTCGCTCGTTCGTGTTTTCGCGTGCTGTGCTCGAGATTCTTGGTCGTAGAAAGAACGTTCCGGTGTGTCTAATCGCGAGAGATTCGGTTGGTGCACGGTATCGCGATCGAAATCTTTACGGCCTCTTCGTCCTGGCCCTTTTCAAGAGGGCGAGAGGCAGAAAGATGCCTCGAACGGATAAAGAGACGCGAAGTTTTCGATGGAAATTAAACCGGCTCGTTATTTTCTACGGTCCTTGTCCTCGTGGCTCGTTCCGTCGAGCGAAGATTGGGGAAATGGAAGTGAACGTTCAGGTTCCGGTGGCGAGAAGTCGCCGTGCTGTGCGCAGGAAGCACACAAAGGTATCTGGGGACCTGTTGCTGATTTCTCTTCCTCGGCGAAAGGGACAATCTCATTTATCGCAATTCGACGCGGCAAACATCGCCGATTCCTTGCTTCACGATCGCGGCCAACTCGAAAATATTGAGAACTGTCAGAGCGATCGGCCAACTCGTGGAAACTTCTTGCACATCACACAGTGTGATTCCTTAGAAATTCAGTTTCCTCCTTGCATTATGTATTGCATCACGTGCACCTTTCATTACGATTTATTTCATCGATGATTCTTGCAATTCTAAATTCAACTTGGAATTGAAATTATTTCAAAAAACGGAATTTCCAGGCGAACGGAGAAAATCTACCAACGAAACGTGCTTGCTCTTTGTCTCGCGAAATTACTTGTGATCGTTTAAATTTAACAAACGATACCGGGTCCATTCGTCGAATCCGAAAATTGTCGTCGTCAATCCCGCGTTCTAACTGTGTTTTTGTGGCGCGTAAAACTCCCCTCCCCCCCCCCTCTGTTGTCGCAGCCGTACGTAGCTAGGCTGCACGTCGACAAACAGGTTGTTCGTGAAAGGCTTGATCACGCTGACAGAATTTTTATGAATTTTACAAAGTTCGCGCGTGTCGTTGGAAATAAACGACACGCGCAAAACAGCTAAATTACTGTGATTTAACAGCCTTATGAATATCGAGGCTCGTTGTTTGATTGCTTGACAGATTTCATAATCCACATCATAAGTACACACCTTATTTCCCCCGTTCGAACGTTTTAACTTCTCTTTGATCGCAGACGGCACAAGCTCACTCGTAGCTTTACCATTTTAGCCTCTATAATTTGCAGTTTCGTTTACTTGTTTGTCGTTGCGACTTGATACGTTTTTAGCCTCGATCATTTAGGCGATCGTGTTTACAGCTCGCATCAATTTAACCGCTGCATATCCTGCGAGCAGGATGCACCCCTAGAAAACTAATTGGATCGCGGTGTTTCGCCGTTTCGTGTTTCTGCCGCTGCTCTCATCGCGTTTAACGGACGTTCCCCATTAATATTCCCCCGGCGATGTTCCTTCTAATCGATCGGCTCGTGGAATTCGCGAGCGAAGGAACTCGTTTGCGGACGTCTCACTCTCGTCGATTCGACGTTTTTCGCGCGACAGCCGGGGCTTCGCCAGCGCCGCTTCGAATTTCGATACTGAAACCACGTAGCCTAGCGTACGGTGCTACGAGTAATTAGAAGTAGCTACGGCACTGTCGGCCGACGACACGCGAAACGGGACCAGTGCGCGCGTCTACGTAATCGAGGCTGGTTTCATCGTGGATGCATCTCGTCTCGATGAATACGTTTGCCCGTACGTGTGCATCGCATACCATCGAATAAAAAACGAGGCAGAGGGGAGGGAAAAAGAGACAGGGGGGAGGGGAAAAAACATTCCTATGCGCACGGACACATCGACAGACGGGGACAAAACGGGAAGAAAAGCCAGAGAAAAAAAAAAAAAATCTATCGCGAGATATATCATGGAATCGTTCTGATGCGACATCCATCGCGTCATTTGAATGCACCCACTCCTCTATGAACAGGAGGGGAGGGGTGGAATCGTTCGTCCTGACTTACAGAGTCGGGCCAACTAGACCCATTCGTATGGATGGCTTACGCCACGTCGAACGTCAATCGAACCAGCCCGTCACGTTGTGAATATTTCGCGTCGCGCGCGTGCAGGTCCCGGTTAAGTCAGCAGTTGTACAAACAGACGTTGATTCGAACGTTGACTGAACAACCTCGATGATTCAATGATATCCTCTCATGATACAGAACTAAAATCGATTAATAATCTTCCCGCTGAGAGGAATCCTGTTAATACGGAAGATCTACGTAATTCACGGTCGTCTGACCGCGTAGATCAAACAAATTCGTCGCTTTCATTACTCCCGATTGCGTTAAGTTACGAAAGTTTTACATTTCTTAACCAACTGAAAATTCAACTAATCTCGTGGCAGATCGAGTGTCGATCAAACGAGTCGCTTCGTGACTCGGATTGGTCGGCTGGAATCGTTATTCATCGGCGGGAACAGTTTTGGGGCGAGGAAGTTGGTGTAACGGGGGCGCAAATTGATTTTCGCGACCCCGCGCCGGTGTTGTCGGTGTTATCGCGCGAACCGTCGTGTTCCAGACTTTCGCTGGATGCTGGCGAATGTGAGAAATTACGGCCACCGCCATAAATCGCCAGTTAAGGGACCGAGTAATTGGTCCCAGAGATTGAAAACAAATGCTCCGAGTTCAGATTTCCAGTTTACCTTTTAAACTCGAGTTTACGAGTTTGGCTCACGGTTTTCGCCAAACTTCATGCCCCGTCCAGATTTATCAGATGTTTATCTGTTATCTGTATTACAACCGTTAAGTCCCGCGAAAGTTTCCAGCCGCGTTGCACGTTGTTCGAGTGGAAATTTCGCTAGCGTTGAGAAACGGATCGTTGAAAAACTGAAAACTGCGTCGGAGCTTAGCAATTGCGACGCTGGAGTGCACGGTTTGCCGAACGGTCGAAAGTTCGTCGAAGTTAATTCCGGAGGAAATGCTTCAGGCCGCGATCGACTCGTCCCAACGAGGTGTTTGCGTTTTGAATTAAAATCCGTTGTTCGCGGAACAAGACTTCGCAGTCGTAACTTCGCATCGCCGTTCGATGCATATTTTTACAAAAATCCAATTCGATCGAACGCAATCAATAACGAGGCGGCGGGCAACCCTTTCGCGCGTGAAATTAATTTGATCGGTGGAAATGTTCTCCTTGCGTGAAAATTCTTGAAAATTTCGAACGTGTTAATAATTGACAGCGGATTTCATTGCGAACGATGTGCCCCGGAATTTTTCTGCACCGATTTATTACATCGCTGACCTTGTTCGCGCATTTGAATATCGGTGGAACACGAGTTGTTTCAATAATACACGGAGTGCCTGTCAGGGAACGAGTTGCAATTAAAAATGATTCGTTCGATGAGCTTCTCGATCGATCAGTTGCACCACCGATATACACGCGCACGTGCAACCTTTCCAGTCCATCGTTTTATTATTTTTTTTTCTCCGCTATGTTTAAATTTATTTACGCGACTAACGTACAGCTTTGATAATGGTCAAAAATTTATCGACGGATACTTACTGCCACGCGTATTTGCCGACATTCGAAACTCACTCGGTGATTTAAAAAAAAAAAAGAAAAAAAGAAAATAGAGAGAAAAATAAATAAATAGAGGAGAGAAAAGATTGAAACATTGTATTAAATCGGAAACATGCACCGTGATATTAACGCGATGCAGTTTCAATTTCAGTGATACGAGTCGCATTTCAAACGAAATCGTAGATAGCGATCCGTGAGTCTGATTTACAAAACGATCGAGTTGGTGAAAATCGTCGAAATTTCAACTCGCGCGGACGGGACAGAGCGATTCTGTACGGTTGAGCAAACAATGTTGCCTTGCGCGACAATCTCGTGTAAGTATTCGGTTTTAAACGGGTACTCGTGGCGTGTTTCCAACGCGGAATCGTATTAGATTCCACGATCTCTCCTTGTCCATCTTTGACAAGAGAAGCCTGTGAATCACATCGTTGAAACTATCGATATGATCACTACTACTTATCTAGGGGAAAGTAGGATAAAACCGGGTACCTAATATATTTAGTTTCGTAACAAAAAATCGAATAACAAAAAAAGAAAAAAAATTTGCAGAATAACTAAATCTCTTAATTGGACCTTATAATAAATATATATATAAAAAGATGACCAAGTGACTCTTTGGAAAAATTTTATTTTCGCTCACGGGGAAGGTATACAAATATAGTTACAAAATTTTTGTTAGTTAAAAAACTAGTAAAAACAATTATTTTTAGTAATTTTAACAAATGTAAAGTTATTTGATCTATCTTATAAAAAATTATGTTAATTATTAGTTTAGAAATTTTATTTATAAAAAGTTCGAATTATTTAAATATA